CAACATCGCTTCCCATCACAGGATATACATCAAAGAAAAGAAGTTACACATATGGTACCTGCGACAATTACTGAGCGATCCAACACTGAACTTGTGCACCACAAACCAAGTCTCTAAATAGCTCTATATATTTATATAGTATATATCTTTGTCATCTTTAATCTTTACTTCTGAGGAAAGGAAAACAAAAATGTGCACTTCAACAAACTCACTAAGGCCACTCATGCTATAGATACTGAGGATTGCAAGGACAGATTGGTACACAAGACCCTAGAGCACGCACCTTTCCACCACCGAAGGGAAACCGGTTTCACTGCCTAAAACATTCCTGAGATTTAGGGACAAAAGCGTTGCCAGCGCTGCCAATTCCTCGCACGCAGCTTGAGTTTGTTTCCAGGGCAAGGAAGTTTCCTCCCTGCTACTCAAGAGAGATCCTCGCAGGGCCACGACATGCAACACGCCACGGGCCGGTTGTGTTGAATGGGGAGAGACCCACACCAAGGAGTCGGATCTGCAACTGGCATTTGTGCAGTCATTGGTGTTACAGAACAGAAAGGAAAAGAGAAGGGGGAAACAACAACCTTTAGAGGAAATAAAGTGTTTTCTGCACAGGCAGCAGAGGGGAGGATCTCTGCTTAAAGACTGGTAATGGCAACATCTCCACTGTGCTACCTGCTGCTGGCCTGCAGCCTCAAACCCCACCAGATCAAGTGAAGGTTTTGTCAATAGCTTCAATCATGTTTTAGGCACGATGCATTCTCCTGTTTGCACTCTCCCCACACGTAGGACTATAAGGAGGAAATCAAGTTAAATGTGCATTTGTTGTACCATGACAAACAGCGCAATGGCACCTGGAGCAAACTTCACACTGCAGCGCATTGAGAGAAAAACTTCATTCTTTCAACTTACAAAAGGAACATCTTCATCCTATAAATGAGAACTCCACAACAAAACCCCTTTAACATTACTTAACAAGAACTGTGTGCAACAGTCCCAACCAGCAGGTACCGCTGCAGGGCGCCTGCATGGGCAGGGACACCACGGCAGACACTTTGTAGGTTGTTATTTGGAGGCTGGAGAGGGACTCTTCATCAAGGACTGCAGTGATAGGACAAGGGGTGATGGGTTCAAACTGAAACAGGGGAAGTTCAGGTTGGATATAAGGAAGAAGTTCTTTACTGTGAGAGTGGTGAGGCCCTGGAACAGGCTGCCCAAGGAAGTGGTAAATGTTTCATCCCTGGCAGTGTTCAAGGCCAGGCTGCACAGCGCCTTGGGTGACATGGTTTAGTGTGAGGCATCCCTGCCCATGGCACGGGTTTGAAACTAGATGACCTTAAGGTCTCTTCCAACCCAAACCATTCTATAGCTCTCTAATTAATACTGTGCCATCAAAGTGACCAAACACCCGTTAGGGACCAACGGTCACGGTTGTTTTACTTCAAGTAGCTGAGGGATACACTGATTTTCAAATCTTCCTGCAACTTTTGTCAGCTCCTAAAGCCTTTGTGTACTTCTTCCCTTCCCCAAACCACACACAGCAGCCCCAGTCCCTAGAACAGTGGAGAAATCCTGATACCACCTTCCTCCCTCCCTCCAACTGCAGTGTCTGCATAAAGGAGCATAGAGATCATTCACTCAAATGACACTATACTGAAAATGAAATACTAAGGGTTTAATTTATACAGCAGTTACAATCATTTACTTTAAGGTGTCCTCACCACTTGCACCCCATTACTCTGGTGTGATTACATGACTTACCTTCAAGATGCATGCCCCTGGATTTCCACTCTTGGCTCTCCCCTGTCAATGCAGCCCCAACCAGCCTCTATTCAATGCCAGTAACTCATTAACTTCCTCCAGCATCTGGAGTCGCAGGGGCAGGAGCTCTGGGGGCTGTCACACAGCTCCCACCCCAGTACTCATGCTCGGGTGCACATGGAAAGACTGCTCTAGGGACGGGCCACGAGGGGAATGCCCCAGCTCTGCTCCCAAGGGAAAGCCGTGAGTATTGCACCCTCTGCTTCCATAGCTCTGCCTGGTGCCCGAGCCATGGAATACTGCAGTAACACCACCAGATCTATCCAACCATACTGGCACAGCGGGACAGGCATTCACCTTCCTCTGAAGTCACCCAGCTGGACTCCTACTTTCTCAAAGGTATCAAACTGTAACAGCAGATACAGCAATCACTGATCAATGGCACCACATTTCAGTCACCAGATGCTGATACAAACATGTTCTAAGAGCTCAATTTAGGAGGCACAGAACCAAGAACTAGAAAGGTTGCATTTATGTTATTACATGGAGAAACAGGTAGCACACCCGCAGCAAGGACAGCATCAGGGGAAGGTTCCATGCTCTGCAGAGCAGCAACAGAGCATTTTGCAGGCAACTGCAAAGTTGTTCCACAAACCTGCGCTTGAACAGCTTTAGCCACTGGCCACTGCCACCTTTCTCCACCATTTACACGCTTTCATGCAACTGGAGTTGTGGAGATGCTACAGTGAGATCAACTCAAGAGTCCAGTCAGGATTTAATCCAGCTCCATGAAGAGCTTGCTATGGGTTTTACAAGGATTGCTGCCAACTACTCTTGACCAAGTCACACCTCTTAGAGTCTGCTACCAAGGAGATCATGGGTGACATTTAGGATGTTAGCTGCTTCCAGACAAGCCAATGCACCAAAGTATTAATGTGCTGGTGAAGTAGCTTAGGGAAAGAAAGAGAAGCCCCCCAAACCCAGCAAGGCTGGAGAGCAAAGCTACAGTTAAACCAACTGAACTGAGGCATTTGGTTGCCAGAGACAAGCGCGACACCTCCCTGTCCTGCCCTGTGCTGGACACTCTCCTGGTTGCCTTAACTTGAAGGCAAACAGTGAAAGACAAACACAAAGCAGAGGTGAAACAACAGCAGTGGTTCGTGTAGGCCACTGCCACTGGTGTCAGGCAAGCAACACCCCTCGCCCCAAACACACAACCTTGAGGTCTTTGAGATCCCTCAGTCAATAGCTGGAAATGGAGAGCCAGGACTGGAAACCCCAGGCAAAGAAAGAGTCTGCAGATAAAGGAAGCACAAATCCACGCACCCAGCCTGAAGCTTTTGAACACTTCTGCAGTACAGGAGGTATAACACAGCTCACTGAGGACAATTTTAGGCATGCCATCCCTGCCTAAGTTCTGACACCAGTCATACACATTTCATCCAAGTAGTTTTACTAGGACATGGGAATTTGTAAGAACTTTTGTAATTCATCAGTGGGAATTCAGGGGTAAAAAGGTTCTGCCTTGCAGACAGCTGCATGTTTGTAACACCTGACACAGTCATAAACAGAATTCCTAGAAATAAATTAGAGGTTAAATCCACACATAACTAAGTTGGATTTTCACTGAAGAGCCACTGAGGTTATACTGCAGTCTTAATACCACAGGGATGTTTTCTAATGCAAATACTTCTTTTCACATCAGTGAAGATATTCCAAGCATACAATCCTTAACTCTGCATTCACTAATCATGTAACTGTATTTTAAAGATGGTATTATTCAGCCTTTTCCCACAAAAATATACTTGGAAGGCACCAGGATATGAACTATTGGTCTGCTCAAGTTCAGTTCTTAAGAATCATGGCTGAGATTCCTATTTCTGCTTTGCATTCTGGCTTGAAGGCCACCACCCAGCTTCCCCTGTCCCAGACTTCCTAAAGGAATTAAAAGCCAGACCCCAAAGATGCTGCTCAGACCAAGCCCTGGAGGAAGTGTGCTCAAAGCCCCAGCACAGACTGGCCTTTAACAGCCCAGACACAAACCCCTGAAAATAGGGGCTGTGGGGAAGGAGAAAAGCCAGAACCGACAGAATGTGAACTACAGGAGCATGGTTTGTGCTGCTCGGAGAGGAACTGAGGTAACTAACAGCAGTGAGTTGTTCCTAGTTAGCTACGTTACACAGACCTTCAAATGAGATTTATCTCAATATTAAAAAGAACAAAGAAAACCCAAACCAACAAGCCACACAACCAAGCAGCCCCCCCAACAGCAGAAAAATTAAGACAAGCTAGTGAGATAGGCATTGTAAGAGGATCTTTACAGCTCTTCGGCTTTTTCAGTTAATATAAAGGAATCGGTTTCTGGTTGTACTCTTGTTTAATGTAGAAATGAAGCATCACAAGAAAATAAAAAGACCTGTTTGTGCTTTTTGGCATTTTCCACTGACCCCTGCGGACTGTACAAGGAGTTGTGTTCTCCAGAAACACAGGTTGAACTGGATTGGAATACAAAACTATTAACTGGTATAAACAAGTTACTGCCTCAATTATTAAGTAAGCCCATTCAAAAAGGAGAGGAAGAAAAGAGATGGCTGCAGGAAATAGTTAAAGCATTTCTAGTTTTTGCTTGTGGCATCGACATTAATATTTGTATAAGCTCACTAGGTAAAGACATGCCATCGCAACTGCTAAAGAACGTTCACTTCCTAGGTTTGTATCTATTACATGAATATAATTTTGCACTGATCATACACCTAAATGAAATAATCCTACTGTAAAAGTGAATGCAGGGGCAGAAATTAAATTAAAGCCACTGGTCCAAAAACTGTCTCTAGCAGGCTGGTCCACTTCCGATTTTCCTGGTCCTGTTCAGAAGATGAGCGCTCTCGGTTGGTACCAAAGAAAACTACGACTGCTGGTCTACTGGATCCTCTATCACTGACCAATGAACACTGGTCCAGTTCAGGGTGTTCACAACAACACACGGTGGTGACTGGCTTAACCCCCTGGCATGGTTCACAAGGAGTATGCTGCTTTCCAGAGTGGTTCTTTGCCACTTTTCTTCGTAAGGCAGACCCAAGGCTAGGGCATCCTCCCTTCTCTTGATATTTATGATTAACTTTGCTATGTGTACAGTAGAAAGACCCTTCTCCTGTAACTTCTTATTGTACAGCATTTATTCTTCCTATGTAACAGCAGAAAGCTCTTGATGAAACCTTCCATTCATAATAAGAATGCAACTCTTTTGAGCTCAAACAGTTTTATTTAAGGTTTTCTTGCAGACTTTCTGCAAAGTAGCTTCTTTTGAAAGAAGAGAGAAAGAAGGGGTTTTCTGGAATACCAAGTTCAAAATGTGAGCCGAACTAAACATGCCATACACATGCTGATAAGAATTTAACACACATTCATCCGTATGGGCACTCTTTAATAGACTGGACCAGTGTTTCAATGCAAATTCCAGCCCCCAGAGGACTACATGGTTTAGATTTCACAGTATGACTTTTCCCCCTGTAACCTGGGGGGAAAAAACCTTAACTGGTTTATTGACCAAGTTCTTAACTACTCTGTCCATCAACATTCTGAGACATCAGAAAAGACTGGACCACTTCTTCAGTGGATTGAGGGCTAATGCTTACGTCCTCCAGAGCATCTGTAACCGAGAACTGCCGATCCCGCAACCGATTCCAATTGGCCAAAATATTGTGGTATTCAAAGACTTTCTCGTAATTACCAATGGAATTGTACAGTTTAATGAGGCCTCGGTAATCGTATTCAAGTCCACTGTATCCTTCCCCAAAAAGCTTCTTTCCTAAAGAAATCCAAAAGAAAACAAAATTATTTCTGGTGACATTTTTTAACCAACACCATGGACCTTTTTGTTATGGTCAATCAAGAACCCCAACAATATGCAAGCTTCCTGGAGGATGCTTTGAATTCTATCTACCTCCTACTTTCAGGATATTGGAACTTGTCCTCAGGGACTCTGTGACTGGATCATTAATTGCACTGTAGCTTTACATGCCCAGTCACATAAAGGCTTTTTTGTAACGCACTGTGCAGAACTGTACAAAGACAGACAGTCTCCAAGCTGAGCCACAGCATGGCCTACAAATGCATTTGATTTGGAATTATAATTTTACTGCAAATGATAACAGGCAACAAAAATATTTAATGAGAATACAGTCAGGCTGATGGGCACAACAGCTCTCCATTCCTCTCACAATTTAACTACATTCTGCACTTCCAACCACAGCTCCAAAATGTAATCTAAAGATAAACATCCAAGCTTCTAATTACTCTGTTTCCAGATGCTTTCAAAAATGAATTCTGATGAAGCACTGAAAATAATACAATTCCAGAATTCAACCCCTGGGAGAACATTCAAGAAAAAGCATTATATTTAGATTGCAACCACATACAAAATAAACCAGGCTGCATTGCAGCAAGTTGTTTACTAAACACCTGAATACATGACTTAATAATGTTTCCTGCAGTACTAAACCTTTACAGTCACACATTTTAAGAATCACCTACCAATTGCTATGGACCTCAAATAGAGCTTTTCAGCATTTTCATACTGGTTCATATCATAGTTATAGAGAGAAGCTAGATGGCCCACTGACAGGGCAACTTCATAATCTTCTTGACCTAGAAGCTGCTCCTTAATCTGAATTGCCTTGATGTGCATTTCTTCTGCTTCCTATGAGGATCAAATTCACAGAGGTCAGTCAGACACCACGCACCATAACATAAAAAGAGGAAAACAAGGCAGGTTCAAAGAAATGTAACTATGGAGAAGCTAAACAGCCTGTAAGTATTTTATAAAAGGAAAGAAGTAAGAAAGCCAGAACTTCTTCAAGCTCTTAGCCAAGTGGATCAGCAAGCAGTATTGCTCTTTCTGTCATAAAGATTGCTGTCACCCTGTCTCTGAAGGCATCATGCATCTCAGTGGATTCTTTTTGTGCAAAGCTTTAGGGAGATGAATTATAAAGTACAAGTTTTCCAGTTGTAAAGCTACCAACTGACCTTATGAATCATGGACACTGGAAACCATCATTTGTTGTGGCAGATTTATAGATGTCTGCAGATTTTAAGTCAAGACCTAAGTCAGTATAATCTTACCTTAAAATTTCTCATGGACTGATACAGTCTTCCAAGGTTGCCATAGTGTTTTGCTGTTTGTACATTAATCTCCCCAAAGGCTCTTTTAGCTAACAGGAGTGAGGACAGATGTAAGTCATGAGCTTCCCGAAGTAACCTCTGCTCAGTTTCCTTGTTGTGACAGTCTATTGCAATCTCCTCCAAGATAAGTGCTGAATGTGGGAGAGGAAAAACAATGTTACTGTGGTCCAAACACAAAGAGGTGTTAACTGTAGGCAGCAGGAAGCCTTCTATCCAAGATATCTCATCAGACTTTGTGTTTATTACAAACTGTTTTCAAACAGGTTACACCAGATATGAAACTCCCATCACGTATTTTTATACTCTCCGGTCCCTCAAAGGTGAAGTTTTAAAGAAAGGATTTATGTATTTTACAAGTGTGTTGGCAGAGGACACTGAGGGCTACAAATATTCCAGAGTGACATCCATTTGAGGAAAAATCATAAACACACCTGAGTGAGTGATTTCAAACTGTCCCTGTAACACAGTGAAGGGTCCTACCTTTAACTCGCCTTGAAGATGCCAAGAGAAGATGGTCTTCTGGAAGAATGTGAGTTATAATGCCAATAGCACGTTCAGCATGGAATCTGAAAGGTTAAGTAACTCATTCAAGATACATATATACAAATTAACAGCTGACTGATAAAATATTAGAACACTAATGCAATTAACTGAAGCAGTTAAGGTCTAACTGGACAGTCCGTATCATCTAAGAACATTTTTCTCCCCTTACAGGACTAACTTGGCTGCCAGCGCCTCAAATGCTTGTACTCACAGTGCATTGTCAAATTTTCCAGAGCTGTACTGGTGAACATATGAAGAGTAAGCCAAGTCTTCATGAGCTGTAGCTACATGGATGTTTTTACCTCCAAATACTGACTGCCGGATATCAAGAGCTGTCTGAAAGAGTTACAAGAAAAGCATTTAATCTGTCAACACAGAAAAAAAAACCTCAAATCAATCTCTCTTGTTGTTAAAAAGGGGGGAAAATAATCAACTGGCTCTGAAATTCTGCGGGCCTATGTACTTGAGACACTGAATATATAAAAGCACTTTGGAGTCGGGGGGAGGAAAAGCAAAACCCCACATTTGAGGGTACTTTGGTGTTTTGTTTTTAAAGAACGAGCATTGCAGTCACTTAATCAACTATTATTTATCCCCATGAATTAATGCATGTGAATTTCAGCAGAAACATTTCAGAGACTATGAGGATTAAGGGAAACTGAAGACACACACTTAGTCCTGCTGCATACCTGATAGATGGCAACAGACTGGCATATATTGTCTACATTGAGCAGGTAAAATCCGTAGTCTAGTAGCGTATCAGAGTATTTGGGGTGCTTGGCTCCGAAATGCTCCCTGTAGAAATATATTTCTATTACAAGCTGAAGCAAGAGAAAAGTAAGTTTGAAAGGTTTGGGGTTTTTTTGGAACGCCACTTACCTGGCAAGGTATACTGCATGCTTTATCAGCTGCTCAGCCTTCTTAAATTCACGTTTCACAACGCAAGCCTAAACAGGTTGAAATGAAGCGTGTGAAGAGGTGTAGCCCCCCAACTCAACTCCTCCAGACACTGCTGCAGTTCCTAACTACTATTGGTAATTTCAAAATATGGTTACTAAAAGATTTCTCAGTTATTGATGAAAAGGTTGACAGATAACATTCCTAAACTTCTACGTTATCCTGACTAAAGGGCTGGTGATGTACCTAGTCTAGATCAAACAGGGAACAGAGCACCTTTCCAGGGAATGCTCTCAGATTAACTTTGTCATGATGCTCATTTGAACAGCTGGAGCTCAAAACCAACCCTCCACCAGGTCTGAGACAGAGGTGGACCAATTAAACACAACTAACGAGCCCTAAGGCTCATGAAATGAACCTGTTTACCCAGGTATACTGGAGGTACCGCCTATGCTCACCCATTCTTGGTAGCAATTTAGTTACAAAAGAAACATGGAAGAGTTTTAATTCACCTTTGAAGCTTGTCGTAAAACATCCACTACTACTTTTACAGGCAGGCCAACTGTGATCTCCTTCATGGCTTCTATGCACCATTTATAAGCCTGTTGAACAAAGTTGCCAACATAATGAAGCTAGAACTTCACAAGGTTGCAATATTAAGAAAAAAACATTACTTGGCTATGAACAGTATAATGGTCATTTACATCACAAAAGGTAAATACTGTTGATTACTTCTATGTAATGAAACTTGTTCAGAGATGTGTTAAAGGATGGACCTAAAAAGCATTCTTACGGTTAATACTGAATGCTTAAGTACTCTATGCTAGCCTAAGGCATGTATTATAACACCTTGCACTGACAAAAAGGGGTATTTTATAAACTTCCAAGTCATCCTCATGATTCCTATTGTGTAGGCCAACTTCCTGGTCAGTGTACTTAAGAGCTAAAGGAAAACTGCAGTTTATACAGCGGTTACACTTCAGGCAGTTTTTATAAGATAGGTGCAAAGAATTGTTAGCTGTGTTCAGCTATTTAGTTTTACCTATTAAAATCAGCTTTTTAATGTAGTATTTCCTTTACTGATGACCAACACATACCACTAATTATCACATATCATTTCTTAATGTTGGTCAAAGTACTCAGTACATAGAAAAACGTCAATACACCAAGTATTCCTCAGGCACTGCCTCACAGTGACCGAAAAACAAGGATCAGGAGCTCCAGCTATGGAGATTAAGTGAATACTGAGCCAGTTGTGGAACATCCAAGCAGATGTCATGATTTCATGACCAGTTTTCTGAAGCAAAACCAAACCAAAATCCCACTCACCTCATCGTAGTGGCTCTTGGCAAAGAGAAGTGCACACAGCTCCCCATAGAGTGCTGCTTTGTTCGCCTGCTGGCCGTGTTTTGCAAGTTTGTCCATGTAAGACTGAGCCAGTTTGAATGTTTCTTCTCCCAAGTGATATTTACAGTTACCATTCCGAACGTGCAGCAACCTTAGGAATATGTAAAGAGATCATCTAAATGGTGTCTGAATAAACCAGCTCCACGTACAGTAGTACCACGGAGCTGCAATTTGTACTATACAAACAGAACCAGGCTGTCATCCCAACAAAGCTGCACTGAGTTCAGTCCAGCAGAGTATTTACTGTGTAACATTTCAGTACTCCCCAGGCTCTGTCTCTTGCATGGCAAGAACTGCTCCTGCTGGAGATGTCAACTGATTTTACATATTGATGCAGTTCTACATATTCAAGAGCTTACATCACTTTGGTGTGGTGGCTTTGTGTTTTATTTCTCCTAAAACAGTCTTCTCAACACTGGTAAAATTCCACTTCCAAACCCCTGTAATATACAGTATTAAAATCCTTCTACCTCCTTTCCATAGTAAACTGAAGCAGACACCAGGTAAGCACAGACATTGCTAGCTCTTACACGTCTCTGCACTTCTCCCTCCGACCTCAAGTAGCCTAGCACTTCACAAGGGGGCATTTGTTGTTTAGGGGGGTGTCTTCACAACAGATGTAGTCACATCCTTTTAAGATGATGTCCAGCACTGACTCAGCACCATCAGAGAACTCTATTTTATTGAACCAGGTCACAGTAACTCTAAAACACCTCTCCCCCACCTTGGCCCATCTTCCAGCCTTCTGCCTTCCCATCTGAAGGATTAACAGAAGCTTCATGAAACAACAGCCAAATGCGCACAGTAAAACACAGCACTACTGAAACACACTCTTGTTTCTCTAGAGAAACAACAACTTCAGTTTCTGGCACTGATTTAAAGCAAAAGTAAAGACTTTTTTTTTCCCTCCCTTAGCGTAGGCTGATGCTTATTTACTTTAAAGAGATACATTCAAAATGTGTGTGTTATCATATTCCAAGCCTAAAGGGCAGAACTCTATTCCCACCCATTGCAGGCTAAGAAGAGACAGCTGTTCCTTCTCCATTGCAAATGCCTGCCATTTAGCACACACGGAATGTTGGTAAATTAACCTCCATTGTCCCTCCTGCAAATCTGTTATTAGACAATGAGTAACAGAGACTGAAAAACATCAGGCAGGCCCTCACAGACTGAGCACAACAGGACACAGGGAGAAAAATACAGAGTAAAGCAGACATAATCCTGTACTGCTGAGAGGCTACAACTCAAAGTGGGAGCTCATACATAGGTACAGCATCTTTTTTCCTTTTATGATACATTATGATAGATCTTCCAACAAACTGGTAAGGGAGAAGAAGGAACAGTGAGGTTTTTGATCAAATGCTTCTCTAAACCCATTTCCTGTTTGCATTTGCTCCAAGCAGAGATTTAAGCTATTGTAGCCGAGCCTCCTGCAGCAGCAAAACAACACATTGAAGCTTGCCTTCCAAGTTCAGCTTGCCTCTAACTGAGTCTCTCCCTACACCTTCCTTAGGAAACGTATCATAAAACTCGACCACTAACAGGAGAGGAAATCAAGTTCACATTCTCACAAGAAGAGAGCACACAGCAGATGTATGAGCCATGCAAGAGAACATCAAAAGAAATGACAAGACCTTCAAAACACCCCTGAAACAAGCTACATAAACACCAGCTTTCCAATGAGAAATGCAGCAACACAGCTGAAAACCAGGAAAAAAGCAACAGCCACATTTTTCCTTAAGTTAGGTCTGAGAACTAAACATGATGTAGAAGTGCACCACGTTCTGAGTCACAGGCAGCACAACGCTATCTAGCATTCATGCAACGAGAGAGGAATTTGAAAGGAACTTGAGAGCAAAACTAAGCCATTACAGTTTCCCTGCAGAAGGAAACTATTTTGTCTACGCCATTCAGTTGGAAGCTGCTATGCAACGTCAAAAATAAGAAGCCCAAATCCAATGTAATGGTATAAGCCAGTAGAGATGGTGCTGCAATTTCGATAAGTTCCTGGGAAATATAATATCCAGTATCTGGATGCTACAGTGATAGGGTCTAAAAACAAAGAAATCAACCAAAAAACCAGGCTAAGCCTAACCCAAACCTCTAGGATAAGCAGAGTTTCTGTGATCCAGTTTAGAGTCACAAGAAATCCTTTATTAATCCAAAGGAATTTTAGAAGATAAAGCCAAGAGGAAGAAAAAAATGCCTTAGGACATTTATGCTAATAGCTATGAATCATTCTGCTGTCTGCAATAATAGCTTTTGGGGAATAGCTCCCCCCCCCCTTCTCTAAGAGCATACAAACATAGCAAACAATGTTACAAAGCAGTTTAGAAGTCCAAGAACATCACAAAAAATCCCAAAGAATCAGTAAAATGTGAAACAATGAAGTGAGAGAACCACGTATTTGTAATATATATTTTGCCTTCTTGTTTAACATCTAATAATGAGGGAAATGAAATCAAAAGTAGCACACACATGCAGGAAAGTAGCATACAGGCTCGTAGAAATCTCAGACCTTCACATTTTCTCAAGTTTCTCCATACGATTTACTACTGCTAGTACAAACAAGCACCAAATTCTATATACATAACACTAAACTTTGCATGTTTTTAAACTTGATCCTATTATTAATGCAATGCATTCGTTTCCCAGAGATCAGACTTTCGAGCTTTTAGAGCAAGAGCAGACACTTTTTTTTTTTTTAGAGTGTTTTATTTTTAAAAGCTGGACTTATTCTCTGGAAATTCCAACTACCTCTGGTGCAAGCACAGTGGTAAGGAGAACATATCCCACAGGAGGGATTAGACAGCAACATCAAAAAGATTATCTTACTGCCTCATGACTTCAAAGCTGAGTATAATGACTGTGCTCTCCCACAAGAAGAGTGTTCCAAATTCCTTCTATTATCATTTCCAAATAAATGATGCTGTTATCTGACTGCCTGGGAGAGGCCTGAAAATAAAGCAGTGTCTCCTCATTCACAGTGCTGCCCAGAGGGACTTGATGTTACAAGGAGGCCAACCATCAGTTGCCCAAACTGAATTAACATCCCCAGTTCATCCTAATATCAGATGGCTTTTCATAACACAAAAAGTGAAAATCATCTCCCCACAGCTGTGCGGGCTGTATACAGCTGTCCAACAGAGTCATCTTTTTGACTTTATTTACCTTCTCTTCATTCCCCTGCCCTATTTGGAGAAAGGGAGAGAGTTCATTTTTCAGGCACCTTCTCCAACTTGTCAAGCAGCCTGATACAACTTTTAGATTAATTAGAGAACAAAAGACCAAGTATTAACAGTGCTACTATATATATCATCCCCCAGCTCTAGGAAGGTGTATATGTGCCCAGTCTTTTCCTGGCATCATCTTATTTCTGGAAGAAGACCCAGTGGTAGCTGGCAGGGCAGAACAAGGCAGAGCAGCAGCCACTCATAAGGCCCTCTGGTTGGCACATAAAGTAAGTAGCTACTGGCAAAGCCTATTTATCCTTCATATTTGTCCAACCATAACACGATGCGTGGATTTTTTTTTTTTTTTTGAGCAGCTTCCCAAAACAAGCTTTGCCCTATATTCAGATAAATACAGTACATACTTTGTTGCCCATTACAACAGCTGAAAAGAAATAATCCTATTTTAACTAGGCTCACTAGCACACACCTATTCAAACACATACCTGGAGCATGCAAAAGAGGTCACTCATGGTGTCACCAATAAAAACGAGCCAGCTACTTACTGCCAGCTGCAGCACGGCAGCACACATTGAGGTACAACTAAAAACTCAACAATAATTTGAGGCCTCTGTGAATGGAAGTGGAAGCTCCAGGGACCAGACAACAGCCTTGAGAAACAAGGTACAAATGCCTAACACCTCCAAAAAGCAAAAATTCTTTTCCAAATATTTAAGCTGTGACTAAAGTTGTCCACAGGAACTGGATATTTAAACATTTACCCCATCACACAGTTCAGGAGCACAGTTACAGCGCAAGAGAACTCACTGGATCTGCAGCCAGGAAAGGTGTGGTTTTCTTTTATTTCTGTCTCAACTGTGTTTACATCACTTCTGTTTGAATTTGCCAAATTCTTCTTGTAGTAAATATAATTTCAGCAAACACCAACACATAACACTCCTTCATATGCAAACCCCCTTGAAAACACCAAGGTCCTGGACCACTCTAACCACCCAGCATCTGTTACCCATGACACATTAAGCAGAAAGGCAAAATGGCTTTTATTTTTTCACCCCCACTGAACTGTGCTGCCAGTTTACAAGCAGAAAACCCAGGGATTAGCATAAAAAAAGCACCTCCTGAGCTTCAGCTCTAGCCAGGAAAGTATTCTAGTGCAGCAGAACACTAAAGGGAACACCTGAAGCTTGATGGCTCCAAAGCCATATTAATAGCTTTGTCCAAAGACAAAGACATCTTCAGACAATTAATGTCCAAAGACATATTAATGTGTATTTCACACTGAGATTTACAGAAATTAAAGGTGAGCTCACCTTACACAGCATTCTACGGCACGAAACCAGTGAAGGATTTCATCGTGAAGGGTACATAACTGAAGGCAGGAGAGAAATACCTTCTCAGCATCACTGTACCAGCCTGCATCTGATAGGAACCCCCCTGGAAAAAAAAAACCAATATAAATCAAGAACAAAGAGAAACCTGAACAGCAAAACACCTTTTTAAGAGAAAAAGGGTTTGCCCAAGTCTTGTAAGGAAACTTATTTATTTCACAGAACTGCACATATATCAGAATCCTGTCAATGTTAAACCCTCCAGTCATGAACTGAAAAAGATAAAATAGAAAAGTAGAAGAATTCTCCTTCAGTTGAAAATGACTTTTTGGTATTACATAGCCTTCCTACATTTTTCTGTCAAGAAATATTTACCAATACTAAAGTTATGCAGTCTTAATGTTAAGACTTCACATCAGCAAGCAAATTTTAAATCTAAAACATCTGAAATAACAAAGATGCGCCTAAATATTCTTAGATATAAAAATCCAATGTATTTTTTTCAAGACACCAAGTAGTTTTCTAAAAACGACATTCCAAAACCACACATGCTCTTTAAAAAAAAGCCACAGACATTAACAGGAAAAAAGATAGGCATTAGCTTAACTGAAGCTTGCATGAAAGAAAGGACCACACTTTAAACAGCCTATCATCACCAGTTACCTAAAACAAAACCAATCTGGATTGCTTTTTCTTTTACAGCAGAATCTGATTCTGCAATGTAGGAGCACCATCTACTGAAAGAACAGGCCAGTACAGAAGCAACTTTTACTCCATGGTCCATCAAAGCCTGGAAGCAGTGATGAAGCAGATGCCTGAAACAAAAGAAAACAGAATCTGATTACAGATGAAGTTTTTAAAGCATTGCAGCCAGTTGGCTCTTGAGTGCCATGAATTCAAATGAATAGTGATTCAGAGAAATAACTCCAACCCTCTCTCAAACCAAAACCAGATGAATACAAGCATAGTTGTCAATCTCAAGGCTAATGGATTACAGTTGTTGGATTATCCAACAAATAAAGTGAGCGTACATAAAGTTCTTTACTAGGACACCCTGGACTGTAAGCAAAACACAAGCTAACCACACAATACTAGAACTGGAAAACAACATTTTCAGCTAAAGCTTTGTGGGGGGGAAAGCCTCAAATCCACCCTCACCCCACAAGTCCCATTGAAATTGCAAATAGACAAGCAATGACGAACCCATGAACATCACACATACACACAATGGGAAGGAGCCATGTCTAACAACTCAAAAATTATTCCAAAGAATGTCAAGTTCTGAGCGTAACACCACAAATTCAAATGTTTAACGACAAGAAAACTCTTTAAACTGGGGTGATCCTATCAGCTTGATAACCCTTCACTTAGGATTTGGTACAACAGACAACAAGTACTTCGGCACTGCTCAGGACTGGCTGAGTATTGATCAGTTAGTGGTGAGCAACCAGCATCTTTTTGCATTGCTTGTTTTTCTTGTTTGTGCTTTTTTCCTCTCTCTGTTGTTTTCTTCCCCCCTCCCTCCCCTTTTAACAAAAAATTATTATTAAATTAACTTTATGTCAACCCACGAGTTTTCACACTGTTACCCTTCCGACTCTCTCCCCATCCCACTGGTGGGTGAATGAGCAGCTGTGTGGCTCTCAGCTGCCTACCAGGTTAAACCATGGCACAGCAACAACAAAGCAAGCACTCTGGGGACCAAGTACCACAGATGCCTTCTCACATTTACATAGATGTTCCAACTGTTTTATTTTTTGGAACAGAGAGAGAGAGAAAAAAAACTCTGTAAGTTAAAAGCTCATCTGTAAATCTAAAGAAATATTCTTGTGGTTAACAGATGGGCTAATAAGACCAAGAAAGCTAGAGATCTTCCAAATGCAAAACCTAGATCAAGAAAGAGCTGAAGTAAGATTTATCAGTATATAAAGATACTTACCTTTTATCTAAAGCTCGAAGCACCTTTGCAAAAACTTCTAGTTCACAAAATTCACTACCCAGCTGACATAAGCGGCCCTGCTGGTAAAGCTGAAAGAAAAAGAGAAATACATTTTACAGTTTAAGAATGAGTTCTTACTACAGCTTAATAGAACCATAGAATAGTTAGGGTTGGAAAGGACCTTAAGATCATTCAGTTCCAACCCTGCTGCCATGGGCAGGGACACCTCACACTAAACCAGGTCACCCAAGGCTATGTCCAACCTGTACTTGAACACTGCCAGGGAGGGAGCATTCACAACTTCCCTGGGCAACCCATTCCAGTGCCTCACCACTCTTACAGTAAAGAATTTCTTCCTTATATCCAATCTAAACTTCCCCTTGGCCTGTTACTACAGTCCCTAATGAAGAGTCCCTCCCCAGCATCCCTATAGGCCCCCTTCAGATACTGGAAGGCTGCTATCCTCCACGCAGCCTTCTCTTCTCCAGGCTGAACAGCCCCAACTTTCTCAGCCAATCTTCATATGGGAGGTGCTCCAGCCCCTGATCATCCTCGTGGACTCCTCTGGACTTGTTCCAACAGTTCCAAGTCCTTTTTATGTTGAGGACACCAGAACTGTACACAATACTCCAGGTGAAGTCTCATGAGAGCAGAGCAGAGGGGCAGGATCACTTCCTTCAACCTGCTGGTCACGCTCCTTTTGATGCAGCCCAGGATACGGTTGCTTTCTGGGCTGCAAGCGTACACTGAAGCTGACTCATGTTCATTTTCTCATCGACTAGCACCCCCAAGTTCTTCTCCACAGGGCTGCTTTGAATCTCTTCTCTGCCCAACCTGTAGCTGTGTCTGGGATTGCTCCGACCCAGGTGTAGGACCTTGCACTTGTCATGGTTAAACTTCATGAGCTTGGCATCAGCCCACCTCACAAGTGTGTCAAGGTTCCTCTGGATGGCATTCCTTCCCTCCAGCGTGTCAACTGAACCACACAGCTTGGTGTCACTGGCAAACTTGCTGAGGGCGCACTCAATCCCACTGTCCATGTCAGCAACAAAGATGTTGAACAAGACCGGTGCCAAGACCGATCCCTGAGGGACACCACTTGTTACTGGTCTCCAGCTGGACATTGAGCCATTGACCAGAACTCTTTGTGTGCAGCCATCCAGCCAGTTCTTTACCCACCGAGTGGTCCATCCATCAAATTGATGTCTCTCCAATTTAGAGACAAGGATGTCATGTGGGACAGTGTCAAACGCTTTGCACAAGTCCAGGTAGAGGACATCAACTGCTCTACCGCTGTCCATCAGTCCCATAGCCCCATCAAAGTAGAGACTTATGATGAAATACAGATTTCAAAGTCTTGAAATACAGCAGATGTAACAGTTCCACTGTCTGCGAGCCACAGCAGAAGTAACAGTTCCACTTTCTCCATATGAGAGCACAACTTTGATGTTTAAAAACTGAGCACACAAGCTATCAGAGCTCCATAGGCGGTTTCAAGGAGGGGGGGGGGAGGTTTATCTATGAATGTATTTAAGGGTCTATGTTCACCTCCATCATCAAAACAGTAGATGACATGCACTAGAAAGCCAAGACAAAAAATCAAGAAACCTCTAAAGTCAGAAAAAAATACAACAAACAGCTTGTTTCATACCAAGTTCTTTGAAAACATTTTAAAATTACACAGAATCTAGCATACAGGGGTACAAATGGATTTTTTTTGTATACGTGTGTGTCTGTATGTATGTAATCTCCAAAAACACAAGTTCTACAAGGAGCGAATCACCAATACCCAGAGCTAAAGCCAGGCATGAGCGCACACCCATTAATACCTGAGCTCACACACATATAGCCTGCCTCAGTAAATAGGAGAACTCAAGTGAATCTGTGCATGCATTTACTAAAAGCAGTGACTAGTTTTATGCCCAAGCTGATTTGTGTCTACAGATAAGCAAATATATCAGTTGACTTGCTCATAAAAAACAAACTGTGGAGACAGTTCTTTATGCAAAGCACAGTTAACTTGCAGAACTATCTGCCACATTATGCTATAAATACTGATAATTTACCTAGGTATAAAAGCCACAGTACAAATATATGTCAAAAATCCACTGCAGGCTAGTAATTCCTGATGTCTTGAAGCCCCCGAGCCACAAATGCCTGCAAGCGGGGTATGTAACTGAAGGTGGTGCCACTATACACTTGCCATAGCTATGCGTGGCATCACCAGCCACTGGCAGAGGTACAGTACTGGGTCACACAGGAATGGTGCAGTACAACTGTTATTTTAGCTGTTCTAGTAAAAAAAGACCACAAACATCACATACACCCTTTGAAAATTCAAAAAGAGGAATAAAAAGGGAGAAGCTGGTAGCTCACATCTCTCAGGCACTTCTCCAGAAGCTCCACCTTTCAACATAGGCCATTTGAGATCCGTTTGTGTTCCTCCGTGGTACGTGCTACATGAGAAGTACGGCTACCCTTATGTAAACAAAAGTAAGGCCAAGAGAACACATTAAGAGATGCTCAATTATAAACGTATTTACTGAAAGTGTTAATATTCCTCTCAGTTTTAATAATTTACAATAAAACATTTTATCGTTGAGCATCTTGTGGCTGGTTCACCTTTTTCTCCAACGAAACTGTAAGGAGATGAATTGAGTATTCAATACACAGCATGTGAGAAAATCTCCTCCAGGCAGAAACTTAGTTTTGGTCAACTCTTACAAAAGCACATGACACTGATTCTACAGCACAGCAAGTTTGTTATTTTGACAACAGATCTTACAAAAAAAAGACTTCAAAAATACTGTGACCTAATAACGTCAATTGCCAGAAATGAATGTTTTCCTTTCAGTGCTCTATTTTGCTGGGAAAAGGAAAAAAAAAAGGGAAGTTTTTCAAAAAAACAGTGCAAGTTTGCATGCAAAGTTACTCTTCAGATAAAACAGTGCCATGTCCCTATACTTCAAAGGGATCAGTTTCTTCTGAAGCCATATTCTCTCTGGCAGCAAAAGTACATCCAGTCTAGTGTATTTAAAAACTACAGGCATGGTTAAGTGTCCTCATTTTCTTCAGCACAGCTAACGGTAACTGTTCTATAAACCCTAGGACATATTTTCCACAGTCAAAAAGAAGATTAAATCCTGCCTGGCATTCCATGCCCAAAACATCAATAATTGATGAGATAATTTCTGGAAGAAAATAAGACTCAACCCAAGCTATTTTACCAGGATTTAGGACAATCAGAAGCACTATCATATGTTCAACAATTAGGCTTTCAATGAAGTACATCATCATTTCCTCTTATCACCTCACAGCACTAACTAAAAATCACAGAGGTTACTCTGATTCTAGTTTACCAAATACTAAATGCAGTCAAAGGTTTCAGAATGAATGTATTTATGAAGTTACACAATGTTATGTGCCCACTGCTACATGTGATACTTAAACTGCTAACAAATAAATGCCCTGGTTGGGTGGGAAGGAGGGGAAGGTCCCAAACTACACCCTCCATTTTGACAAATCAATTATTTTCATGTAAAATTTGCCTTATGTCCCAAAGGTCTAAGCCTGCTACCTGCACATATTCGAATTCAAAGATAACCACTTGCATTATTCTGGCATACAAAAAAGCTAACCTACTTTTCACTGGTATAACCAGAAATACAGTAGCCTTGGGACACTTACCACGCTATTCACCCCTTCCCTCGACACACTGGCAAGCATTTCTAAGGAACTCACTCAGCTTGAAGTCTTCTGAAACCACTGAAGATGTTACAGCAATGTTTTCAAGCAAAATTTGACATGGAAATAGCGAGTATACGTCAAACTGTGAAGCAATTCCAGGAGATGCAGTAACACTTGTTTGTTCATTGAGAAGCAGTCTCAAGCACTGAGGAAACAGTTCTCCTGTTAAAGCTCTAGAGAGACGAAATTCCTGACCACAAGCCTTGCTACAGAACATGAAAAACAAAACAAAATAGTGATTCAAGAAAAACATGTCCTGACAAGAATGGCAGAGGTTTGGACTTCTGAAGAACTATTCTTTTGGGGAGAAACAGATGCCTTTTAGGCACAAAATTAACCTATTTGGAGCTTAAATGAGACTCATTTTTCTTTAACTATGGAAAAATGAATAAAAGCCCTCTAATTTCGTCAGCTCACCCTGACACATTAATTCTGGCACTCAAGACAGGAACCAAGGGATAAATTTAATATACAGGCTTATTACATACATGCACAATCAAGCTGTTTTGCATAGAGTGAGAGAAAACCATTGTGTTTCTCCTCCAGGATCTGAGGCTTCGTATTTGACTCGTAACAGATCCACCTAAACGTGCAAAGCTGCATACAGTGGTATCCCCAATCAAGCATATTAATAATGCCAACCTATAATTTATCTGTTAGTATATCATCACACGTATAATTCTATCAAAGTACTTGTCAGATTTCTCTCTTTGGAGAGATTAAGCTGAGCTCAAACTGCATCCTAGCAAACCCCTGGAAATAAAAGGCAAAGATGTGTTAAACTGTGAGCAAAAGCAAAGCCCGAACACAAAGAAAAGGCGATAGGATAGTCATAGCACCAGATTCTGGGCTGTTTCACTGTGCACAAGAGAAAAGACTTTCCAAACCTTAGGAAAAATATTAATAGTAATTTCTTAAAGCTGCTGGAGGTCAATTATAACCAGTTGTAGAAAGACCCTCAAGAAGAGGAACTGTAGCATACATAACTTGAAAAATATGTTCCTGTTGCTCCAGTCTGGAAGAAATAATATGGAGATTTCAGTAAGAATTAAAGATACAAGGAAATCGAAGTAGCTCCCAGCATGTTTAGTCATATCTAATTCTAATGGGGAATTTTATGCCAAATTTGGGAAGAACTGTATACATAATCAACAAACATCAGTATCTGGGAAAAGAGGCTTGGCTGTAAACACAATCTCCTTCCACTACTCAACAAGGAAGGAAAAAGTTTCCCCAAGTCAACAGTGGAATGAATCAATCTGTTGACAAATGACTCTATAGACGGGGTGTGGGGGAACAGCCTTAGAAAATCATCAGAAATTTAGGGACATTTGATTCTTTT